TCTCTCCAGTTCATCAAAATCCCATCGTTTTTTGATGAGTAGTGCCACTCCTCCACCCCCTCTGTTCCCTCTGTCTTTCCTCAGGATTTGATATCCTGTTGGAAAGATGGCATCTGTTATTCCTGTGAGCCTGATTTCTGTGAGATCTTTGTGTATGTGCGTGTGTGTGTATGTGTGTGTTTGTGTATGTATGCATGTGTGTGTGTGTGTAAAGAAATATGGTAAGATTCTTACTTATAGCTTCAGAATGCCCTACCCTATCAACTCCTAAGTTTTCAACTCTTGTGAACTCTTACAAGTTGAGGATCCTGCTGCTCTAAATTGGTCTCCATGTGACAACTTTGGAGAGCCTCTTCTGATTACCTTCAAAATTTCAACTCCAGTGTATCCAGCCTAGAAGGTCGTTGTTCATATTAGTGTGTGCTGGTAAAATGTCGTTTACCTGGACCTAGAGTTTACCTGGAGAGAGTTCCGGGGGTCAACGCCCCCGCGGCCCGGTCTGTGACCAGACTTCCAATCTCGAAATGGATTAGTACTTTTTCACATTATTGCATTATTTTGCCTTGATGATGAAGGGAGGTTGATCCAAGGAACTGGACTTATCGTCCTCTTCTTTATATTAATTTGAATGCCTCATTATGACTACAAAAGGTCTGGCATTTTTCCTTCGATTAAAATTCAAAAGTTTTGATACTGATCAATCTTCAATGATCAGTCCGCTTATGAAATTGATTAAATGTTTTTAATGGTTAAGCTGTTCAGATGAACATTTTGTTGGGATGTGAATAACAACTGATGAACAAAATCTGGTCAACACCAACTGGTGAAAAACAACTGACGAAAAAAAAATGACGAACAACAACTGAACCCCAACTGGTGATCACCAACTGGTAAAGGGTGAAAAAACTGAACCAACTGGAAACAACAATAGGAAAAACTAAAAATAAACTAAACCCCAAAGGGTAAAAGGTGAAAAAGGGGGGAACAACTTGAAAAATATGAACTGGTAAAAAATGTGTGAACTGGTGAACAACGCCCTAGGGAAAACAATTGATGGTTGAAACAATTGAAAATGGAAAAACAATTGAGAAAATGGTGAAAACAACTGGTAACAAAGGAAAAAATGATGAACTGGTAAAATATGAAAAAAAAGGGGGAAAAAACGGGGTTAACAAACGATCAATGTTGAACCCTGTGAAACTATGAAACCAAAAAGGGAAAAGAAAACGGGTGAAAATATGAATGGTAAAAGGGAACAGGGGGAAAAACCCGATAAAAAAACGGGTAAACAATAAAAAAGGGGTGAACAATTTTGGAATGGTGAACAATGAATGGTAACAACTGAAAAGGGGGGGGGAAAAGGGGGGGGGGGGAAAAATATGCCCTGTTAAACCTGCGGGGGAAACAATAACCTGAAAACTGGTAAAAAATAAAATTGAGCACCAAATTAAAAACTGGGAACACGGGAAAACCCCCGAAAAACCCTGAAAAAGGGGGTGACAAGCGGGAAAAACAACTGGGGAAAATGGTATCAATTGGAAACTGGTGAACAACAAAAGGTGAACACTGGGGGCAAATGTGAATGGTGAAAACAATGTTAACTGGTAAAAATGTGAAAAAAACTGGTGTAAATTTTTGAAGGGTTGAACAAATGAACAAAGGGTTTGGAACGGGTGAACAACTTTGAACTGGGAAAAGGGGAAAAACAATTTTGGGACACTGGAACTAACAAATGAAAAAATTTTGGAACTGTGAAAAAAGGGGGAAGTGGGGAACACGGGTGAAAAATGGAAAAACCCTGAACAAAACTGGTGAACGTAAATGGGAAAATTAAATTGGGAAAACTAAAAAGGAACAAAACGGGTGAAAAAATTGATGAAAAACTGAAAAAACCATAAAAACAAATTATGGTGCTAAATTTCTTATAAGATTTTAAATTAAATTAATTTGGTTCAAAGTAATTTTAAAAATATTTTTAATTAAAATGAAATTTTCATGTGCACATAACATACGTGCACCTTCATGTGCACATAACATACGTGCACCTTCATGTGCACATAACATACGTGCACCTTCATGTGCACATAACATACGTGCACCTTCATGTGCACATAACATACGTGCACCTTCATGTGCACATAACATACGTGCACCTTCATGTGCACATAACATACGTGCACCTTCATGTGCACATAACATACGTGCACCTTCATGTGCACAAAACATACGGCATTTTCTGTGCACATAACTACGTGCCCCTTATGTGCACATAACATACGGCACCTTCATGGCACATAAATACGGAAACCTTCATGTGCACATAACATACTGCACCTTCAGGGCAAACATGTCCCCTTTTTAAAACATCGTGCACCTTCATTTGCCATAACTACGTGCATTTCATGTCACATAACATACGTGCACCTTCTTTTTCACATAACATCGTGCACCTTCATGTGACATAAATACGTGCACCTTCAGGGGAATAACATACTGCCCCTTCATTGCACATAACAAAATGCCCCTTCATGGACATAAAAATGTGCACCTTCATGTGACATAACTTTGTCCCCCTTCATGTGCACAAAAACATCCGTGCACTTCATGTGCCAAAAATCCGGCACCTTCAGTGAAAAACATGGCACTTCAGTGCACATAACAATGGAACCTTCATGTGCACATAAATCCGGCACCTTCATTTTGCCAAAACATCCGAGCCCTTCATTGCACAAAACGAGCCCTTCATTGCCATAACTCGACACTTCATGTGCACATACATCCCCCCCCCCCCCCCCCGGGGCCCTTATGTGCACATAACATCCGGCACCTTCAGTCCCCACATAACATAGTGCACCTTCATGGCCTTTTTAAACCCAGAACCTTCGTGCCATGCATCCGAGCACCTTCATTGCACATAACTCCGAGGCCTCATGTGCACATAACACCCGAGAACCTTCTGCGCACATAACACCGAGCACCTTCATGTGCACAAAACACCCGGCACCTTCATGTGCACAAAAACATCCGAGCACCTTCATGGGGCACTAACATCCGAGCACATTTGTGCACGTAACATCTGCAACTTATGTCACATAACATCGGACCTTAGGCACAAACACCCGACCCCTTTCATGTGCACATAACTCCGTGCACCTTCATGTGCACAAAACATACGTGCCCCTTCTGTGCACAAAACACCCGAGCACCTTCACGTGCACTAACATATGTGACCTTCATTGCACAAACTCCAGCCCCTTTCATGTGCACAAAAACATCCGAGCACCTTCATGTGCACATAGCACCCGAGCCCTTCTATGCCAAAAACATCCGGCACCTTCATTGCACTAAATCGACACGTTCATGTGCACATAGCCGAGCGCCTTCTGTGCACATACATCCGAGCCCTTTATGGCAATAACATACTGCCCCTTTCATGTGCAATAAATCCGAGCACCTTCATGTGCCATGCTCCGGCCCCTTCATGTGCACTAACCCGAGCCCCTTCAGTGCACAAAAAAACCCCGAGCCCTTCATTGCACATAACACCGAGCCCCTTTCATGGCACATAAACATCCGAGCCCTTCATGTGCACAAAACACCCGAGCACCTTCATGTGCACGAAAACACCCGGCCCCTTTATGTGCACGTAACAACTGCCCTTTCATGTGCCAAAAACCCCCGGCACCTTCATTGCACATAGCACCCGTGCACCTTCATGTGCACATACTACGGCCCCTTCAGGCACATAACTAGTGCCCCTTTCATGTGCACATAAACCCGACACCTTCATGTGCACATAACTCCAGCCCTTCATTGCCATAACATCCAAGCCCCTTCATGTGCACTAGCATCCCGGCACCTTTGTGCACATAACACCCGAGCACCTTCATGTGCCAAAAATCCGAGCCCCTTATGGCACATAACATCCGGCCCCTTTCAGTGCACATAACACCGAGCACCTTCATGTCCCACTTAAACTACTGCCCCTTCAGTGCACATAACATCCGAGCCCCTTATGTGCACAAAAAATCCGAGCCCCCTTCATGTGCACATAACATACTGCACCTTCATGTGACATAACTACGTGCACCTTCTGGCACATAACTACGTGCACAGTCAAAAAAAATTTTATGCATCCAAAGTTAAAATTAACTTTTGGTCAAAATCCTCGTTAATTTTTGGGAAGCATTTTGTTCTTTCTAATTTTTATTAAAAAAATAGAAAAATTTAGTTACCGCTCTCAGTTGTCTTCTTCAGTTCGGATTACATGATAATGTAAATAACAGTGACTTCAAGTTTTGTGTTCGTGTTAAAGGGGGTTTGTCTCTTGAGATAAATTTCATAATCCTTTAAGAGCAAAGTTTAATTAATTTGGGGTTGTGTTTCACCAATATTCCATTTTTTTTTAAGAAACTGTAATAATGTTTTATGTTATAACTTGTGAATAGTTCTTTTAATTTGCTTATTTACATTGCTAATATTTATCTGGTTTAGTAATTTATGACGCATTCTACACTGTTCCTTTCTCTCAGTGACGTACATAGGCCTGGGGTTATGCTGATCGGGTAGCAGTCGAATAGTTTGTTTTTCACACTAAGAGATGAGCTTAAAAATTTGCTGCTCTAGCAGGATAATGATTGGCATAAATATAATGTGAACTTATTGTAAATAAATAATTTCTGAATATATAAATAAACATATATGTACAAATATTAGTGGAAGTAATTTTCGCACTATGTTTCAAATTAAAAAATCGTGGGCCCCAAGTTTTTAACACTGTAACCAGCACATATTTCACTACTCTTTCTGGACAACAGAAAATGAAAGCCTTTAATAACCTAACTTAACCTAATTAAAGTGAGGCAAAAGAAAACCTTGAGTCATGTATTTTTTTAAATAACATAAGTCTAAATACGTGAAAAATACAAGGACATATTTAATCTATTGATACTGGGTGAAAGTTGTGCAAGCATGGAGACAGTGGTGACTTAGATACTCACGGTGCTGGTGTTATTCACCTGTTGTCTTTGGGAAACGTTCGTCGTAGAGCACTGCAGAGCTCCTTGAGTCTTCTTAAACGGATGAATGCATAGCTCCAAAAAAAAAACAAGAAAGGGGGAGAACCCAGGCCCGATTCCCCCCACTGGAAGAATAGTAATAATAAGAAAGTGGGTACCCAAAGGCATATCTCACAGATCTTCAAAGAGCCCACAGACTTCCAGGGTCTTCATGTCCCGGCAGTTTACCGCAATGCCAGTCTCCACCTGAACCTTTGCGGCGGACGAAACCCCAAAATATGGTTGTGCTGTTGTCTGTTGTCACCCTGGACACCCGAGTGCCCCTTGGGTGCTGCCAGCCCGAGATACAGAAGAAACGATATTAGGTCCAGTCTGTTTGGGGCCTGTTTGCTGCCAAGACAAGAGATGTTAAGGGTGGAGGTGCATGTGACGGAGCCCCGTCACTGACGTGTCGCCTTATCATCGCTTTTCCCTAACGGTCTGGGCGGGGGGTTGTTATGGAGCAGTCTGCCCAAAATATCTTGGGGCACAAATGCGAACATGATTCCGGGGGGAAAAGGGGAAAAAATATTGGTGACGGGTTTTGGGGTTCGTTGTTAAGGGGGGGCGGGTTTTGGGGGGGGGGGGGGGCTTTTTTAGAAAGCCCACCGAAAAGGGGGGGGGAAAAATAACAGGTTTTATTTTAATGTTTTTTTAATTTAAAAAAAATGTAACGGAAATGATTTAGTTAAAAAAGGAGAAAAGGGTCAGTGTATGTGATTTATTTTTGGTTAGCACAGAAGATAATTCCGGGTTTAGCCCCCCACGATAGGGGCCTTGATGTGGGTAGGGCTATCCTATCCTTTTCCAATATCGAACTTTTCCCTTTTCCCAGGGGCTGTTCACCCCTACTCTTTAGACTTGCCGTTAATTTAAAAAAATTTATTTACGCAAGAGAAAATGTTAAGTGATACTGGTTAGACAGGGGTTTAGGGCAGGGTTTCCAGTTATAACTGTAACAAAACTGCTATACAAAATTTTTTTTTTATTTCAGTGTTCACGTAGGGGGTTCAAATACATCACGTGTTCCCAACCCCTCGATAGAATACCCCGGATATCAGCATCCGCTCTGCGGAAAATCTGCACAGTTTCTTACAGCCGCTTGCATTGTACTGAAAATGATATCCCATAGCATCCGCATCCCAAAAAGAGTCGAAAACCTCTACACATCTGCATCCTGGTTTTTTAAATTTTCAAATGCGATCTCTCTACACTCGATGTCTCACCCACAAAGACCTTGTCGCAGTTTTTGTAAAGAAAAGGGAACTATGCATAACTTGTCCTCATTTTTTCTTGCATGCTTGGCCTTAAAAAACTAACCAACTTTCCATTCTTCAAAAGTTATCAAGTGTTCCTAATATCTCTTCAGAATTATTTTGAAAGAAAATAACAGGAGTAGATTTTTAGAAACAGTTTCATTCGATGTTATAGACACAATCTTACGAGAATTTTCCATTACTGGTCGTCTTGCTCAGGAAATACGACGGCTTGACATAACATTTGCCACATTGTCAGGTCACCTGTGTTTCCCAGCACTTACTTCAGACTGTCTTGAAATACCCAAGTAAAACAGGCTATTATGTCTTAAACATAATACATACTGTTAATTACACTAACAGCAAAATTGCCTCAACATCAGCAATGATCCACATTGACTCGTTAATAGTAACATGGACACAAGTCTTACTAACAGCAACACTTACAATTACTATGTTAAGTTTCTCTCAGTGAGCCATAAGTCACAGACGAACCTTCGGGGAGAGAACGTGTATATGTATAGGGAATATATAGACCAAATAGGTCGAACTCCATTAAAATTTGAACTCTACCTGCAGTATACCTGGAGGGGGTTTCGAGGGGCAGCGCCCCCTCGGCCCGGTCCGTGACCAGGCTTTCTACAGTAGCAAAAATTACAGATTGATAGATATATTTTTCATTGATAATAATGGAAAATGTTATATTTTTGGACCAAATCTAATTAACATACTTGTTTCTAGATCTGTAGCATTGATCAGCTTAAATTTATTTAATATTACTTAAAATCAATATCATATATCTTCATTATGTTCAGAATTGTTTCTGCTGACTTAAAGCAAAAAAAAAAAAAAAAAAAAAGAAAAAAAAAATCTGCTTGTTCGGCAAACAACACTTTTTCCCTAAACGCCAAACTCAGCAATATATATGTACAATACGCATACACACACACACACACACATACATACACACACATACACACACACACACACACACACACACACCACACACACACACACACACACACACACACACACACACACACACACTGTTTCTGGTATTTGTGAACGACATGACGGAAGGAATAGACTCTGAGGTGTCCCTGTTTGCAGATGACGTGAAGTTGATGAGAAGAATACACTCGATCGAAGACCAGGCAGAACTACAAAGGGATCTGGACAGGCTGCAGAACTGGTCCAGCAATTGGCTCCTGGAGTTCAATCCCACCAAGGGGCAAAGTCATGAAGATTGGGGAAGGGCAAAGAAGGCCGCAAACGGAGTACAGTCTAGGGGGTCAGAGACTACAAACCTCACTCAAGGAAAAAGATCTTGGGGTGAGTATAACACCAGGCACATCTCCTGAAGCGCACATCAACCAAATAACTGCTGCAGCATATGGGCGCCTAGCAAACCTCAGAACAGCATTCCGACATCTTAATAAGGAATCGTTCAGGACCCTGTACACCGTATACGTTAGGCCCATATTGGAGTATGCGGCACCAGTTTGGAACCCACACCTAGCCCAAACACGTAAAGAAACTAGAGAAAGTGCAAAGGTTTGCAACAAGACTAGTCCCAGAGCTAAGAGGTATGTCCTACGAGGAGAGGTTAAGGGAAATCAACCTGACGACACTGGAGGACAGGAGAGAAAAGGGGGACATGATAACGACATACAAAATACTGAGAGGAATTGACAAGGTGGACAAAAACAGGATGTTCCAGAGATTGGACACAGTAACAAGGGGACACAGTTGGAAGCTAAAGACACAGATGAATCACAGGGATGTTAGGAAGTATTTCTTCAGCCACAGAGTAGTCAGTAAGTGGAATAGTTTGGGAAGCGATGTAGTGGAGGCAGGATCCATACATAGCTTTAAACAGAGGTACGATAAAGCTCACGGCTCAGGGAGAGTGACCTAGTAGCGATCAGTGAAGAGGCGGGGCCAGGAGCTCGGACTCGACCCCCGCAACCTCAACTAGGTGAGTAGGTGAGTACACAGAAGCTAGAGCATCAGGCGCATATAACAGGAAGGGCACTGCAATGGATCAGAGAATACCTGACAGGGAGGCAACAACGAGTCATGGTACGTAATGATGTATCACAGTGGGCACCTGTGACGAGGGGGGTCCCACAGGGGTCGGTCCTAGGACCAGTGCTATTTTTGGTATATGTGAAGGACATGACGGAAGGGTTAGACTCAGAAGTGTCCCTGTTTGCAGATGATGTGAAGTTAATGAGGAGAATTAAATCTGATGAGGACCAGGCAGGACTTCAAAGAGACCTGGACAGACTGGACACCTGGTCCAGCAAATGGCTTCTCGAATTTAATCCTGCCAAATGCAAAGTCATGAAGATAGGGGAAGGGCACAGAAGACCACAGACAGAGTATAGGCTAGGTGGCCAAAGACTGCAAACCTCTCAAGGAGAAAGATCTTGGGGTGAGTATAACACCGAGCATGTCTCCGGAAGCACACATCAATCAGATAACTGCTGCAGCATATGGGCGCCTGGCAAACCTGAGAACAGCATTCCGACACCTTAGTAAGGAATCATTCAAGACACTGTACACCGTGTATGTCAGGCCCATACTGGAGTATGCAGCACCTGTTTGGAACCCGCACTTCATAAAGCACGTCAAGAAACTAGAGAAAGTACAAAGGTTTGCAACAAGGTTAGTTCCAGAGCTAAGGGGAATGTCCTATGAAGAAAGATTAAGGGAAATCGGCCTGACGACACTGGAGGACAGGAGGGTCAGGGGAGACATGATAACGACATATAAAATACTGCGTGGAATAGACAAGGTGGACAAGGACAGGATGTTCCAGGGAGGGGACACAGAAACAAGAGGCCACAATTGGAAGTTGAAGACACAAATGAGTCAGAGAGATAGTAGGAAGTATTTCTTCAGTCATAGAGTTGTAAGGCAGTGGAATAGCCTAGAAAATGACGTAGTGGAGGCAGGAACCATACACAGTTTTAAGACGAGGTTTGATAAAGCTCATGGAGCGGGGAGGAGAGAGGGTCTAGTAGCAACCGGTGAAGAGGCGGGGCCAGGAGCTAGGACTCGACCCCTGCAACCACAAATAGGTGAGTACAAATAGGTGAGTACACACACACACACACACACACATAAATTATATATATATATATATATATATATATATATATATATATATATATATATATATATATATATATAATCTCGCCGAATACATGTGTATTTGTGGCAGTGAAACAGCAGACTGATTCGGGTACCATGGTCTTGTGTGCCGTAAATCTGAGGGAAAGATTGCAAGACATGAGGTTAACATTATCAAGAGGAGCCTCACAACAGCCGGATGCCCAGCAATAAGGGAGCCACCCCAACTATGCAGATTTGATGGCAGAAAGAAGCATCCAGATGGTATCACACTTCAAGCTTGGACAGACGGTAAGCAGGTGGTGTGAGACTACACATGTGCATCTACATTGGCTGACACCTATCTCCAATACACCAGGGAGGAAGGAGGGGCAGCCATCAGCTTCAAGGAGTCCCAAAAGTCTAGAAAATATGGAGACCTTGCCCATCATTATGTTTGTTCCCATAGGCTCAGAGACCCTTTGCTCATGGGGAAAGAGTGCATTTAAGTTCCTTGTGGAGCTAGGCAAAAGATTTATCAGGGTAACTAGGGATCTCAGGGCAGCTAGTTTTCTGTTCCAGCGCTCAGCACTGCTGTTCAGAGGGGTAATGCCTGCTGTATTTTGAGCAGGCGCCCCAGCTCTGAGGAGCTGGATGAGATTTTCGCATTATAATCAGTGACAAACATGTAACAATATTTACTAGACATGTATCGCATCTCATGTACTGTATATGCCATCTTTATATCAACAATGTATCTCTTAAACCTTTTCTACCATATTATGTAATAAAATATACCTATTGGTAAAAAAGAATGAATAGATGGGGTGGTAGGGGAAGTGGAATATTCAAACGGCTTCAGGAAGAAATCCAAATATTCTTCCTTGAAGCCTTTTTATCCACTTCTCCGAGGCTGTGAGTCCCACAATTAATACCAGAGGTGGACCCATTATATATATATATATATATTATATATATATATATATATATATATATATATATATATGTATGTATGTATATCGTGCCGAATATGTAAAACTGGTCAATTAGCAAGAACTCATTAAAAATTAAGTCCTTTCTAAAATTTTCTCTTGTATGTTTAAAGATATATTTTTTCATTAATGTTAATGTAAAAAAAAAATTAATTTTGCACCAAAAGAATCTTAGAAAAACTTGCCTAACCTTATTATAACAAGAGCAATTTATTTTAGCCTAACCCAACTAAATATATTTTAGATTTGTTTACAATTAATTACTAAACAAACACAGCGAAATGTTTTTTTTTCACTAGGTTAAGAATGATTTTGGCGAAATTATTGCATACACAAATTTTCGCTTGTCCTATATGGCAATATGAGAGTTGCTATTTAAGCCAGGATCGCAACTTCTGCCTATTCGGCACGACATTATATATATATATATATATATATATATATATATTATATATATATATATATATATATATATTAAATATATATATATATATATATATATATATATATATATGCAAGGAATTCTCAAGAGCAGGAGAAATATACACAAACACTGATCTCTGGCTCAAGGAGACTTGAACCTTGGAACAAGGTACGCAGTGCTTTACCAATCTACCCACTCTGGACCAATAGGCAGTGCTCCCCACCAACTCTCTGGAATTCTCGCAAAACACCTCTCCAAACTCTTGGGCACTATCAGTCCAGCACATCTCAAACACTCGGGAGATCTTCTCAATCGCATTCGCAACATCAACATCAGGAACAAGAAACTTCCAGCCTTGCAGTCTTTGTGAAAAAGGGGGAAATTGAAATCAGTAAATGTTTGGTGAATGGGGGACTTTCCCTCGTAAAAGAAATCGGGACTACAATCGGTATGCTTTTAGGAAAAACCCAATGATGATGCCTCTTTTGGTCTTTGTATCTTGACTGGAATAGAAGTGTGTGAGATCATTTTTATTGGTGGGTTTCCGATAAACTTGAAATCTTAGGTTGTTGTCTATTTTGTGAATGAGGAAGTCGAGGAAAGGTAGATTGTCATTGGACTCTTCTTCTAGTGTAAACTGGATCGCCGGTTCAACTGCGTTGAGCCTTGCCTGACGATCCCGTATATCAAAACGTTTTGGAGTTATTACGAGGACATCGTCCACATAACGTAACCAAGTAACGCTTGAAGGGACGATGTTGACGAAGTGTTCACACTCTAGGTGTTCCATGTATAAGTTGGCTAGGACGGCACTTATGGGGGACCCCATTCCCATGCCGAAGGTTTGTTTGTAGAGCTTGTTATTGAAAGAAAAACAGTTGAAATTAACACAGAGTTCAATCAAGTCAACAAAATCTCCGGGAGGTAGAGGAAGATTAAGGTCCTGATTGACTTTACATCGTAGAACCTCGATGGCTTTTTTGGTAGGTACTTTTGTGAAGAGGGAAGTCACATCCAAACTGCTTAGTTTCTTGTTACGGATGGAGAGGTTTCGGATGCGGTTGAGAAGGTCGCCTGAGTGTTTAAGATGAGCGGGGCTGATAGTCCCCAGAAGGCAGGAAAGATGTTTGGCAAGAACTCCGGCTAGTTTGTGTGGAGCACTGCCTATTCCTGACGTGATTGGTCTGAGAGGAATATTGTGTTTATGGGTCTTGGGTAAACCATACATGTGTGCTGGTTTAGGGTTGCTTGGTAACAAGTACAGAAGTTTCTTCCCTTCTCTAGTGCGTTTGAGTATTTCTGGTTTTGTATAGAAAATCTTTTGTGAGCGTCTCCCACTGTTGAGTGCTGATGGGTTCGTATGTAGATTGATCATTCAAAAGGTCCATCATTTTAGTGTTGTAGTCACTGGTGTTGAGTATGACGACTCCACCTCCTTTGTCGGCGGTGGTGACGATAATGTTAGGGTCATTGGCGAGGTCCTTAAGGGCAGTGATGTATCTTCTAGGAAGATTAGAAGAAGAAGGTTCACATAAAGCTGCAGTGAGAAGGCCCTGTATATAACCCTTCTGGAAGTTGCTGTCACTGTGGTGACTGTGCTGAGAATATGCTCAGCAGTGTGTTGGTCAATCTGAAGATTGGCCCTCATATTCTTTGCAGTTTCAAAGGTTTCCTTGTGAAGTAAAAGGACACAAGTGCAACTAATGTGACATTTATTGTGGCAACGTTTCGCTCTCCAGGAGCTTTATCAAGCCATTACAAACAATACATGGACACAGAGGGTATATAAAGGCTCAGAGTGAGGTGAATACTAGTGAGGTACCATTTCGATGTTTCTAACATCGCTAAGGAAACCTTTGAAACTGCAAGGAATATGAGGGCCAATCTTCAGATTGACCAACACACTGCTGAGCATATTCTCAGCACAGTCACCACAGCTAACCTCCAACAAAAGATCAAACTCAATCGCAAACTTCAGTACCTTTGCACTAACAGTCGATGGAAGGAAATGGGACGCGAATCCCTGATAAACAACTTATCGTCACGCACCTTAACCGACTACGAGAAACAAGCACTGAGTCTGGGACTCAAATTTACCACCAACATACGCAAACCTAACTATCAACTCAATCTTTTTACCAGGAACCATAGACACATTGACAGCAACTTCCAGAAGGGTTATATACAGGGCCTTCTCACTGCAGCTTTATGTGAACCTTCTTCTTCTAATCTTCCTAGAAGATACATCACTGCCCTTAAGGACCTCGCCAACGACCCCAACATTATCGTCACCACCGCCGACAAAGGAGGTGGAGTCGTCATACTCAACACCAATGACTACAACACTAAAATGATGGACCTTTTGAATGATCAATCTACATACGAACCCACCAGCACTCAACAGTGGGAGACGCTCACCAAAGTTAGAGATAAGATAGGTCCCCTTAAAAATAACTATGGGCACCTTACTGACAGAGAGAATGAAATGTGCTTGATTTTAAATAATTATTTTCTCTCAGTTTTTACACAGGAAGACACTAACAATATTCCAGTAATTAATTTTTACAGTGGGCTAGAAGAAGATAAATTATGTAACATCACAGTCACTAGTGAGATGGTTGTGAGGCAGATAGACAGACTGAAGCAAAATAAGTCGCCAGGTCCTGATGAGGTTTTTTCAAGGGTTCTTAAGGAATGCAAAATGGAACTCTGTGAACCATTAACTAATATTTTTAATTTATCTCTTCAAACAGGTGTAGTGTCTGATATGTGGAAGATGGCTAATGTAACTCCTATTTTTAAAACAGGGGACAAGTCGTTACCGTCAAATTACCGCCCAATAAGCCTGACCTCAATTGTAGGCAAATTACTAGAGTCAATTATAGCTGAGATTATAAGAAGCCATCTCGATAAGCATAGCTTGATTAATGATACTCAGCATGGATTCACAAGAGGCCGGTCTTGTCTAACTAATTTATTAACTTTCTTCAGTAAAGCTTTTGAGGCTGTTGACCACAATAAAGAATTTGATATTATTTACTTAGATTTTAGTAAGGCTTTTGATAGAGTTCCGCACCATAGACTGTTAAAGAAAGTGGCAGCTCATGGCATTGGGGGAAAAGTGCTCTCGTGGATCGAGTCATGGCTCACTGACAGGAAGCAGAGAGTGTCCATAAATGGGGTTAAATCCGAGTGGGGATCTGTAACAAGTGGCGTTCCACACGGATCAGTCTTGGGCCCGTTGTTGTTTATAATATATATCAATGATCTTGATGAGGGAATTACTAGTGATATGAGCAAATTCGCCGATGACACAAAGATAGGTAGGATAATTGATTCAAACGTAGATGTTAGGGAACTTCAGGAGGATTTAAACAAACTCTATTCTTGGTCAGAAAAGTGGCAGATGCAGTTCAATGTAGATAAATGCAAGGTTCTGAGGCTTGGGAGTGCCCATAACACTAGTACTTATAAATTAAATGATGTAGAACTTAGCCATACAGATTGCGAAAAGGACTTGGGGGTTATGGTGAGCAGCAACCTTAAACCAAGACAGCAATGCCTAAGCGTACGTAATAAGGCAAATAGATTACTGGGATTTATATCAAGAAGTGTAAGCAACAGAAGTCGAGAGGTCATACTGCAGCTTTATACATCATTAGTAAGGCCTCACCTAGATTATGCAGCTCAGTTCTGGTCTCCGTATTACAAAATGGACATAAATTCGTTAGAAAACATTCAGCGTAGGATGACTAAATTAATACATAGCATCAGAAATCTTCCTTATGAAGAAAGATTGAAGACTCTTAAGTTACATTCACTTGTTAGACGAAGAATGAGGGGAGACCTGATCGAAGTGTATAAGTGGAAGATAGGTATAAATAAAGGGGAAAATTAAAAAAGGGTCTTGAGGATGTCTCCCCAAAAAGAAAAACGCGCCCAGTAATGGATTTAAATTGGGTTTAAGTTTATTTTTAGAAAGGAATGGAAAGTATTGGGGTTTGGAAAATAGGGTTTTGATTGGGAACATCTACCTAGTTGGGTTTTTGGGGCTGGGATTTTGGGGTTTGTTTCAAATCTGGGTTTGGGGATAATTTACATGGGGGAGGGGTTTGGTTTTGAGGGGGAAACTTTCAATCAAAAGCTTTTTTCTTGGGTGGCATTAAAAATTTGGGGTTTGGGGAAAAGTTTTGTTAGTGGGATGAATTGAAAAGGACGGGCCTAGTAGGGGCCCAGCGGGCCCCCGCGTTTTCCCTTCCTTTTTTATGTTCTTTAAAAAACCCAGACAAAAATAAAAACGCACTAGAGAAGGGAAGAAAATTCTGTACTTGTTACCAAAAAACCAAAACCAGCACACTTTGGATGGTTTCCCCAAGACCCATAAAAAATTTTCCCTCTCAGACCAATCCGTCAGGAATAGGCAGTGCCCCACAAAAATTTAGCCGGGGGTTCTTGCCAAAACTTCTTTCCTCCCTTCGGGGGAAACCATCACCCCCCCCCCTTCATCTTAAACACTCAGGGGCCCTTTCCCTAAAACCCGCATCCGAAACCTCTCCACCGTAAAAAGAAAATAAGCAGTTTGGATGGGGATTCCCTTTCAAAAAAGTCCCAAACCAAAAAACCCATCGGGGTTTTTCACGACGAAAAAGCAACCAGGCCCTTTTAATCTTCCTTTACCCCCCGGATTTTTTTGATTTTGATTAAATTCTGTGTTAACTTCAACTTTTTTTTCCTTAAATAACAAGCTCTACAAAAAAAACCTGGGCAGGGAATGGGGCCCCCCAATAAGCCCCCGCCCTCCCCAATTACATGGAACCCCTAGGCCCGAAAACTTCCCCAAAACATCTTTCCCTTCAAGGGGCACTTGGTTACGTTCCCGTGGACGATTTTCCTTAATAACCCCAAAAAACTTTTTTTGAGGGTAGGGGAAATCTTCAGGCAAGGTTTAAAACGCGTTAAACCCAGGATTCAGTTTACACTAGAAGAAGAGCCCAATACAAGTCCCTTTCCTCGACGCCCTCATTCCCCAAAGTAGCCAAAACCCTTAAGATTTCAAGTTTTGGGGAAACCCCCCAAATTTAAAAAATGACTCACACACTTTTTTCCGTCAAGATACCAAAGGCCCAAAAAGGGGGTCATCATGGGTTTTTCCAAAGAGCTTTACCGAATTTGTAAGTCCTGAGTTTTTTTGGGCGGGGGAAATGATTACTTTTCAAAAAAAAATTCACTGAGTTACAATTTCCTTCTTTTTTCATAAAAAGGACTGAAAAGAAAAGAGCTCTTCAGATCATAATTCTCCACGCATAAAAACGTTTCCAACAAAGTTTAATTCTTCCAAAAAGCCGGGTTTGGGCACTAAAGTTTTAAAAAGGGGTTCTTTCACAAGCTAACCCCCCGAGTCCCCATCGCTTTCCCACTTAAATTAAAGGATCTAACCAGAAAAAAAACCCAGCCCCACGAACCGTAAATTGCGGAGTTTACACAATCCCCTGTGGAGGCGGTGAAAAGATCTTCGTAGGTGAAACCCAGCAAGAAAAACTCGAAAACCCCCCTCAATAAACACTTTTTCGCTGTGGGAAAACGACAACTTAAAAAACGTTTGTGTACAAACCGAAATTCCACCAATCATCTTAAAAAATTCAGGACCCCCAATTGTGATAAAAGAAAAAATTTTCCCGAAAAAGCAAGTGCCTTGAATCGGAAATGATCGCTGTTTCGAATAAAATTTAAAACAAAACAACGGAAAGCTTCCCCATCCCCGAAGTTTAGCAAGAACCCCTCCTAAAAACA